GCAACCAAAAAGGTATATATACATTCTTTAAAAAAAAAAAAAAACTGGGTAGACTTCTTTTAAAAATCACACCTAAAATTCAAAAGCATCAAACAACACTATGAGATAAAGTACTGTTTGACTTTCAAACAGTAGCATGACTATCCAACCTAGTTTTTTTTTTTTTTTAAAAAAAAAAAAACCTCTAATCATTTGCTTATGCCTCCTTGAACTTCTAAAAGTCTGAATAACAACTTATCTCACAGGCCTGTGCAGAGACTTAAGTAACATTCACAAACTTAAACTTTGCTAACTTTATATGCCAAACCCTGAAACACATTGAAAACAACAATTCTCTGTTCATCTGATGTAATTTGAGCAGGGAAAGGAACTAACCATATAGACAAATGTCATCATTTTAGTTATTAGTAAAATGAAAAAGACAGAGTGTCCCTTTGAATATGGAAGTTGTCCATACATTTCTTTCTTCCTAAATACTGATACACATTACTTACTCTGTTCAATGTGTGACTGTTCTTGGATTATATGAATTGATGTCCTAATATATTTTTGTCACATTAACACTTCTGCTTGACTCCAAACAGAATGAACAACAACAAAAATAAGGTTGATTCTATCAGAATAAAAATAACTCAGACCTGGAGTTACAACTCTGCAGCTGTCACAACAGAAATCTGAAGAAATATACACGCCTGATTTTTCTGTTTCTATCATTTGCCGTTCTCCAATAGTAAGAAAACACTGCAGTACATTTTTAATAAGTAAAGGGTATTTTCCCCCACAAATTTTCATGCCTTAAGATAAGTATCATATGTTCTACTTCTACTAATACTTATCTGTGAAATCAATTTTGGGGGGTTTTGGGGGGGTTGGTTTTTTTGAGATAGGGTCTCACTATAAAGTTTAGACTGGTCTTGATCTCAGTATGTAACCCAGGTTGGCCTAGAATTTAATGTTCCTTCTGCCTCAGCCTCCCAAGTGCTAGGATACAAACAAGGTGTGCCACCACCACCCCTGGCTAGTTTTGTTTTGTTTTGCTTTTTTTTTTTTTTTTTTGGTCACTGTTATGGTGGGGACGGAACCCAGGATCTTACACATTGAGGCAGGGGCACTGCTACCACTGAGCTGTACCCCTAGTTCCTGAAATCACTGATCACACAAGCAGGACTCATAACAAAAACCATAAGGATATTTAAGTATCTCATGAATAAGATTACCTAACATATACTATGGGACTGTTATGACATTAAGGAAGTAGTTAGGCAGATAAATATTTTACTAACTTCACAATATTGCAACATTATATAGCTATATACAATAAAGTCCCTTTACTCTATAAAGTACAAGTGTTGTGTAATCATTTCATTTTAAAGTCTCCAACTAGAATCACAAGAAAAAGATCAAGAGATCTGTCAATGTTTTAAGTTCAAACATAAAATTCATGTGCGATTTCTACTGTTTTGATACAGTGCCAAGGCCTTGTCTTTTAATGTAGATGTGTTCAATCAGCCCTGTACTTCTTTCCTAAACAAATTCACATAGATCAGCCATGCTTTTTACTTCCACAAGGTATCCCGGGTGAGATGTATTCAATCTTGCACATTCTCTGACCTAAGTTTAATTCAAACACAATTTTTTAAGGAATTCATCTTTAAGGAATCTGACTAAAGCACTCAACATTTTTTTTAACATCAAAATGACTCTTTTCCATCTTATACTGTACCAAATTATGTAACATATAATTCAATTACATAATCGTAATAACACATATAATTGGCATAAACAGGTTTAGTTAAAAATACCACCAACTCTGAGCAGGCCACAACTCAGCCTGTTGGAAAGAAAAAACCAGTGGCTGGGAATCCACGTGCAGTGGGCGGTGGGCATGTGCTCATTTATGTTACAAAGAAATACAGCACACGGATAAATCCAGTGATTTGTTTGAGAATGTCTACAAACGTTTTTAAACATTAAGTTACTTAACATTTAAAGAAAGTTCAAAACTAAAAAGAATTTTCAAAGGCAAAGGAAATGTTCTTTAAAATACTGATACCCTCCTCCCCGCTAATATATCAATTCTGCACATATTTTTGCTAAAGAAATCAGCTGCATCTGTAAATAATGCTACACTTAAAACCAGGTTTCCACATTTTTCTAAGGTAGACTTGTTCTCAATCAATTCTCTCACAAAAGTATAGTTGTCCATCTTCATTAAAATCATATCTAGCATTTCTTAGAAAAAAATTTTAAATACTGAATTAACAATTAGAAAGGTTGAGGACAAGCTGATTCAGGTGCGAGCCTATATAAGGTTCCTTATCAATCTCTGCCTTTCCCTCTCATACTAGTTACATTATTATTAAATGAATGAAACCTTAACACCCCTTAGGGGAACGTTCCAGTCCTTTTTTATGATTTCTGGCTAACCTCCTGCTGTATCTCCACCCTAGGACCACAAATGAACCTCACTTCCTGTTTACTTGTAGAAAGATGTGGATCTTATTCTTACATATTGTACAAGTGTAGTAGCAAATCTTAACATTCAAGAGAAGGGCTTTCATCAGTTATTGGAAATGTAAGGAAAAGACACTTTAAATTTTTTAGTAGTAAGTGTTTGCAGCACACAATAACATTTACATGCTTGTGTAGAGCTGGTACATGCACAGGACACGTCTTGAATTTTGTCATTTTCCTTCCCTTTCTTTCCCCTCGTTCCATCCCTTGATTGCCTTTCCCTTTGAGAAGGATCTATCTCCCCGCTTCCTGCTGGCTCCCTCTTACTGTATTATTTACTCTATCTTTATTTATAATTTGGGTTTCTCATATAAGGGAAACTATTGATATTTAAGCTTGTGAGGATCAGATATTTTAAAATCAAGTCTCTCCACATAAATGCCCATATTCTTTAATTTCTAATATTCATCCCCTAAAATTAAATTTTACTTTTGAAGAGGAAAATTGGGCAAGAATTATTCACAAAGAACTTGTAGGCTCAGAAATTTCCACAGATTCTTTAGTGCTCCCTTATTTTACTCTTTTGAACTTGTTTAGTAAAAAGATACACTATAGACAAATTCTTAGTCATAACTTGTCATTATTTGCAAGTTAATATAAATTAAGAGATCTAATTATTATATATTGTAACATGTGTTCTCTACATTCAAACTAACCTGATCTTAAAAAAAGAAAGAACAAATTTAGAAATAAATGAGTCATATAAATGGGCATGCCCTATTTACATTTAAACATTAGTCCAATCAGATAGGGACACAAGTGAATGACTCAAGACTCTAAGTGAAAGGAAAGTGCATCTGAATCATGTAAGTGCACCTATCTATGCCTCCTGGTTCACAGATTTTAACTGGGGTTAAGGGATGGCCTCAGTTTTATTTCCCCTCTCAGAAGAATGCAAATGAGAAAGACAATTTTTAAAACTTGTGTCTTATATGTGTTAATACACATTTCTTTTTAAAACTTAAAAACTGCCTGAGTGTGATGGTGCACACCTGTAATCCCAACATTTGGGAGCCTGGGGATCGCTGCAAGTTCAAGGGCAGCCTGGACTACATACGAGATGTTGCCTCAAAAAATAAAACAAACAAAAGTTAAAAGCTCCTTCATTTTCCACATCACTGGTATTTTTAAACAGAAATTACTGCTGCTCATAAATACAACTCTACATTGAAAACTGACACCAAGATAGTATTAAAAAGAATACAAAGTAATTGGGACTCTCATATCGTGCCCTGGGCAGCTTAATATGAGAAATGTTTTAAAGGGAAGTGTTCATTGAAGTTTTAAATGCACGTAGAAATTCATACTAGAAGCAATCACCCAGAAATACAAAGTAACAAAGAAATGAATATTAATTACATAATTATTTTAATGACTAAAATTTAAGTCATTCCAAATGTCCATGAATAAAAGATTTTTTAATAAATCATTGTGTCCATACAGTGGCATGTTTTAAATGAGACAGAAAGTTGCTTATGATGTAACAAATGTAAAGGCAAGTAACCCTCATTTTAAAATCCAGAAAGAATATGTATGTGAATGTCTACATCTAAATGTTTAAAATATTCATACAGAACAATTATAGCACACATCAGACTTTCAGGTTTACAGAAAATCTACTAAACACTGCATTAATTTATGTAAGCAGCTACCTTCTCCCTAAAATACAAAATCTCCTAAGCATATTTTAACATTTTAAAATTTTTAATCAGAAATTCAAAAACTTAACATTTATATTTGCTAGTTACTACAGTATATGTAAATTTGATTTTTATAACAGAAATACCATGATAAAAAAAAATCATGTTATACTCAGAAGTCTTTTTTGTTCTAGTTTTAAGTTTATTTGGGAGTTGAACTCCAGGCCTCTCACTCTCTAGAAAAGTACTCTGTTCCTAAATTACACTCTTAGCTTCTCTAAGATTCTTTAACAATTTGCCCCAAACATTTCCTATCTTTAGAGTAAAACAATGGGCATGTTTTTAAACACCATTTAAGTAGTTTCCATAATGATAGAAAAACTCAGTATCACTTTAAGTGCTGGAGATTAAATCCAGGATGGTTGCACTGCACCCCCAGGGCCTTTAGTTATTTATTTATTTATTTAGAGATGGAACCTCACTAAATCATCCTCCTGTCTCAGCCCCCTGACTATCAGGAATAAACGCCTGTACCACCTGTCCAACACAGTATTCAATAACCATCATCAAAGTATTTCTAAAGATATCAAAACTGTCAACTTTAGTAAGAGTTTTATCTTCATTTATAGCATATAAATAATTAACCTCTTCCTCTGAACTCAAGCCAACAATTTTTAATTTTAAAAAAGTTAGATCACTACATAGTTACTTTATTAAACATTCCTAATACTTAAAATGATTTTCAAAGTAAAAATTTACACTTCCTAGAACTTGTACTTGTAAAAGTAATTTTATTTCCCTAAAATACCTTTGGCAAGGATTCAAAGGAACGTAAATTTACTTTACCTAGTTGTTGATGGCTGCGTCTGTCTTGATTGGGATGGAAACTGGCTCCAGCTTGGCCATCTACTATTGTCTTCCCTGATGAAAGCAAACTAAGACACTTCATCCTAAGTAATCTTGGGGAATCTTCCTGAATACTATCTCTAGTATCCAAAGTAGTATCGCCAGAAAGAATAGGCGGAACGACTCTCTTTAAAAAATCCATTTTAAGGTTGTTCTACATTCCTAGACACAGAAGCACATAGAAAGGTACTGAACCGACTTCCTTGATGAGAAGTTAAGGTTCGCTATTTGTGTCAAAGAACAGAGACGTCATGTGAAATTAGGCGGGGCTAAAGGCCAGTAAGTTAACTTAACTGCCAGCTGTTTGGAAGCTGATTTTTTAGGACATTTACTGTTGGTGCTGATAACGAACCAAATAGCTCTAGACTATGGAACTGCACTCCATATACAAATACACTTGTCCAGTGGGTGTTAACAGCAATAAGACCATAAAATGTTTAGCATCCGTCTAGGTTAACATTTAGACTTTGAAAAAACCTTCAGTGTGACAAAGACAAATTTACTTTCCGAGGTGTGGAACAGTAACTTGTACTCAAAAAGATAATATTTTATCACTCTGAAAATTACTTCTGGATTTCAAGAACAACTCTACAGAACATGAAAAGGAGGTGAAAATTTTATGTTACAAACATTGCAATGTACCCTTAAACACAGCCTCCTGTACACGATGCAAAGTTTGCTTATAATGATCAGTCACAGTTACCAGTAATAATGGTGGAAACCCTGGCATACATCGTAAAAGAATTATAATGAAAATAGGTAGATCTCAGAACATAAAGTTGAAGATTTTAAAGTATAAACACTGAAATTCAATACATGTAATAGCCAATATTCAAAACTTATTTTCAAAATAACTGTGCAGTCCGCTAAAATTTTTAAATAGTGAAAGGAACTGATCCTATGACAAAAGAGTTCACCAAGACTTTGAGGGCTGCGGTTAATCCCTCCTTTTGCCTACCCTCTGGTGGGGCTGCTTCACGAGCAAGGAGGAAATGAAACTAAGGGGACAGGAGGAAACGCCGCCCGCAATCAGATCTGTGCCTCTGAAAGACTCGGATTTTCAATTGTAATTTTTAAAATCAGGTTTTCCTAACGGTAACACATGCACCATTCCATTGTTTCAATACGCAACATGAAGAAAATTATTTGCATAATATTTCTTAAGATGAAACAAATGCTTCTATAGATAACAGGAAAAATGATTATAAGAGGAAAAGATGTAAATGGCTCTGAGATACTTAGGCTTTCATCACTATTCTGCCACTTTACTTATCAAGTCAACTATTCCCTGTCTCGCCCATTTTTAAAATATATTGTGTGAAAGTCCTTTATACCCTTGAGTCTTGGAGATAAAGGACCAATACAAATTCTGTCTAGGTAAAAGGAGTAAAAAAAAAAAACAAGGAAATACAATGGGTGTGGACAGCAATATTGAGACCATAAGATGATTAACATTTCTCACCCTCAAGCAGGACTATATCTGAGAGGGAGGAAAAACACTGACTTTAAAAAAAAAAGCTTCGAAGAAGCACAGCTCTCTTAACTCACAGACCTAAAAACATTAAATATCCAAATCCCCAAAACTCATTAGAACCGTAAACTATATGCATTAATATGGCTAAAAGTAATCACTATGTTTTCAGCTTGTCTCTCTAAATATAATCCCGTATTCTCTGTATCTTGGGTTGGTTGTTTGCCTCGAGTCCCTCTGTAGGTCTTATCTACGAAGCCCAGAAGCACAGCGGTATATAACATGCTAATCACAGAGGAAAACTACCTTCATGTTGGTTCATGATACATGGACAACCAGCTGTGTCACCGCTGACATTGGTAAAACTACTTTCAGCTGAAGAAAAGGAGTTCAGGCAAAGGGAGAAAGATTAGATGTTACAGGAGAGGCCACAAGAGATTTTTCTCTGTTCAACAAATAAATGCTGGACAACTTCTTTAATGATCTGTACAAAACTTAAAGACTCTTAAAATGAGTCTCCATCTCCATCCAACTTTCTTGGGTTTTTTGTTTTGCTTTGTTTTTCTACTAGGAATTGAATTCTCGGCCTTGTGTTTGCCATAAAGGCTCTGTGCCACTGAGCTGTATCCCCAAGAACCTTACTGTTGAAGAAGGGAAATAAACTCCCACAGCTACCATACTCCAGAAGAAATGGCCAGAGTTTTGTTGAATCTGGCTTGTAATTCAATTTCTTCTGCCCAAACTGCTTCCTATTCCACCTTCTTCTTTTGAGGTATTGACCCTAATAAACAGCCTGGAAGATACAGGTGCTTTTCAGCATCAGCTTCCTCTGAATCTACACTGAAACACAGGTTAGAGAGAAAGCACAGCCTTCCAGTGACAAGACTGTATCCATTACTACTGGAATCTCTGAGGACTAAAGATGATTTTTATGGCATTTATTTACATGCTGATATTTATTAGCACTTTAACTATCATAAGTTTGAACTTGCTACACAAAGGCTCATGTGTTAAAGGCTTGATGCCAGCTTGAGGCTATTGGGAGGTTGTAGCAGCTTGAGAGACAGAGCCTAGTGGAAGGTAATTTGGTCACAGGGGTTGCCCTTGAAAAGGACTCTAGGACCCAGGCTCATGCACTCATAACATAATGTGCTACTGCCTGCCATCGGCCCAAAGCAATGGGGCAATTACTCACAGACCAAAACTTCAGATACTGTAAGTCAAACCGAAATCCTAGTCTTAACAAGTTAACCGTTATATAATCACGAAGTTATAATAGAATTTGGAAGTTAAAATACAGCATTTAAAAAATCTTTTCAAGAAAGTGCTCTAAAGAATATAACTGTATATATATTTAAGTGTATAAGATAGATGACCATATTACTGAGTTTTGTTGGATCACTGAACAAAAACTGTTTGCAGTCTCACTGTTTGAAAGTCCACTTTTATATGCTTTAATTTTGTAACTTGAACAACTATTTCTAAGATAACAATATGCAATCTATTAACTAGTGATTTCCTACTGTTTGTTTTTTCTGAAATTCTGTATAACTTGTACCATTTTTCTGTTTTTTATTTTCTCCTTAAATAAAAAAAAAAAAAGAAAAAAGAAAAGAAAAATCTTTTCAGTCTTAGCATCATTTAGCCTTAAGAATATTTGCTGTTTGAACAGAACTGGTTGCAATCTCACTGTTTGAATCACTACTTTATAAGCTCCATTTTAGTATCTTGAATAACTATTTGTAAGAAGACAATCTGTAATCATCAACTAGTGATTTCTGTTTATTTTTTTCTTTGAAATTATGTCTTATTTCTACCCGTTTTCTGTTTTGATTAATCTTTAAATTAAATTTTTTTAAAAAAAGACACTACAGTATCCAGTGCTGATCATGGAGAGTCATGATGTGAAATCCAGCAATACTATTATTTTTTGTTCAGAATGATTTTAACCTGCTTTAGTTTGTTTAATCTAAACATAAATGAAGATATGGATAACTGCACGTATGTTTAAGTGTATAGGATTGACAACCATTTACTAAGTTTTTGTTGGACAGTTGAACAGAACTGTTTGCAGTCTCGCTGTTTGAATCCCCACTTTACATTTTTGTATCTTGAACAACTATTTGTAAAACGACAATATGTAAACTTCAACTACTGATTTCTTACTGTTTATTTTTTTCTCAGAACGTATGTATTATTTCTACCTATTTTCTGTTTTGTTTAGCCTTTAAATAAAAATTTTAAAAATTTTTCAAAAAAAAGAGTATTTGCTGTAATCTTACCGTGTCACTTGAGATAATTTCTTGGTGATAATGTGGATCATTAATCCTGACTGTATGACTCTTGAGCAGGTTTGAGAATTAAGCATTTAGAGGTTAATCATCCAAGATTAAAATAAATGGCTTCAGCTCTGAAAGAAAAAACAGAACATTTACATGCCTGGTATGTTTGTAAGTTCATCTTTGTGTTACTCATATTCAGTGCTACAGCTATCCTCTTTCAATGATATGCTACATTCTTTTTCAGTTTTTACTACAGAAAATTTAAATTATTGAGTACAATACCTCGTTATGCTTACCTTCAACAATTAATTCATAGCAAATCACACCTAGTACTGTAGATTATTCTGAAGCAAACACCAAACACCAACTCATTTTATCTTTAGTATACATCTGAGACAAAGACTTTTTCAACACAAGCCAATTTCACAATAGTACCTACAATATATTGGTTTTTCTGTAACATGAACCACCGATCACGGCTCAAATTTGCCCAAGTCTCTCACAGGTGTCTTTTTAACAGTTTGATCCGATCCAAATCTAAACAAAACATAGAGAGTATTGTAACTGTCCCTTTAATCTCTCAGAATTTATAGATATCTCCTTCCTTTCTTCTTTTTGTAATGCTTTCACTAGCCAATGACTGACTTCATACAGCAATGCCTTATTCAACAACATGTTCACACATTTTTTTATTTACTAAATGTAGATCTGCAATACAATTCATATACCTACCTACCAAGCATAATGTTTATACAATCTATATGTAATATTTGGAATGCATATTTTTCAGTCTGTAACAACTCTGAGGGAGATTTATGGGTATGTATCTGCAAGAACTTTGATGCTTAAACGAAAAACTGATGACTACAGGGAGCTGTCCTATCACTTACATCTATCTGTGTATATGCCACATTTTTCAATCATTAAAGTTAGTGGCACCAGAGACACAGCTCAGCAGCACAATGCCTGCCTGGCGAGCACGAGGTCCTGAGTTTGATTCCCAGTACCAAAATAAGTAAATAAATAAATAATAAAGTAGGGCGTTTTTAAAAGTTACATAGGCCAAACAAATATATCGTCAAAACTCAAATTATCCATATTTAAATCATAACCACTTTCTTAATAGTTTTTCCTGTTTAATAAATTTAATAGCCAATTCAACAAAAAATGTTTGAATATCTCTGAAACATAACTTTGTACTTAGAATTCTTAATTTTAGGCTGGGGATTTAGCTCAGCGGCATAAGCACCTGTCTTGCAAGCAGGCAGTTGTGAGTTCGATCCCCGGTACTGATAAAAAGAAAAAAGACCAAAAACAAACAAAAAAAAAAGAATTCTTAGTTTTAAACTCCTTTAGACAAGTTACATACAAAGACACTATGTCATTTACTCAGAGGTTTGGTTAACTAAATCATGAGGATGGCCAAATCTTCAAAGCCATAAATCTGGCAAATATGAACAAAGCACTAATAGATTTTCCTTGGTTAATAAATTAATATCACTCATACCTACTGAAATTATTATTGCCCCATTAGTTTTGAATCAATTAATAAATTACTGATACTTATCTTAGGCTCACTGATCTTTTCTCCTCTCAAAGCAAAAAAAGCACATATCACAAAGAACATGCCATATCTTATAGGTACAGCCATATGTTAAATAATAGTTAATGGGATTAAACTATTCTTCTTAGCTACTTTTCTTGTTGCTGAGACAAAAAACACCCAGAAAGTACAGGAGGAAAGGTCTGTTTAGGGTTACTATATGTAGAGGTTCCACCCATACTCAGTTGGCTCCAAGGCAGAGTGCCATGGCAGACAGGTATTGCAGAAGTGAAACAGTTCACAGTGGGCATAAGGTACCAAAGCAGTATGAGACAACCACAGCTCTTTCTATCCTTTATATCTTATCCAGGCTACTTAGGACAGGTAGCACTCCCTTAATCCCAGTGCCCTTGATCCTAACCCCAAACCATGTATCAATCTCAGAGTCACACACTTTAGATCCAGCCACCTCTGAAAAAGCCCCACTTATGACTGCATGTGGCTTTGGGGGGACATCTAGACACAAGCCATAACATCTTCAAGGTACTTGGTGGGGACAAGAAACAAAACCGCTCACTACTAGAGTTCAAAATAGTTTGGGGGATGCCACAAGGACTGACTATAGTTGTCAATCTTTTGAGTGATCTGTTCAGACACAGCAAGTTCAGTGCCCTGCTAAATACTGTTCAATCTTCTGGTAAGAACACTCACAGAACTACCTCATTTTAATACTTCTCAGAGTCTGTCCTGAATTTGCCAAAACCTCTTCAGTAGATATGCAGCCTACTTATTTGGAACTTTTCATTTTTGTTTAAATAATTATGTTTTTCACTTACCATGGAAAATAACTGATTTATACTTCTGCATAGATTATAATCGTTTTTAGCACAACTGGCTTTTAGAGGAAGTTTTTGTCTATTTTCCATGGGTTCTGTTTTAGGGATTTTATCTGCTTTCTTGCATGTCAATCATATTTTTCACCTTCTCTTCATACTTTTTATTTAACAAGGGTGGGATTCATTTTCATTTTCATTTCACTTGATTGATTTGAAGAACACAACTACTTCTATAACCCACTTCTGAGCTGGTTAAGTCAGAGGTCAGGTTAACTCTATGTGGTCATGTTGCACACATGATCAATGCTGTTCTAACTTATAAAGAAAAGAGTCAAATAAACAAGGAGTTCTGTTGCTGTGTGACAACACTAAAGAGAAAACTGTAAACAGCCAAACAGAAGATCTGAAGCCCAAGTCTTTAACCTGCATAGTAATGATCCCAGTTTCACGTGCAAAAAAGAAAGAGGACCAACTCTGGTGCTTGGGAGGACCTCAGCGCAAATGAGTCTTGCTTGCCTTTGTCCAAGATGTAAAAGAGACAGCTGAATGAGCATTCAGATAACACAATAATGTCTTTCTCTCTTTGTAAAGAATTTTTAGAATCACTAAAGAGAGGCACCACAAAAAATTTAATTATCTTAAATTTAGTAAGACATTAGATGCATGTGTTTCTGAAATACATTGATACACAAATACAGGAAAAGTTAAGGATAACTGAGCATCAGTAGTGGTCATTATAGTATTCTCAAGAATCATCTTTATGCTCAGAATACTTCATAATTTGAAAACAAGAAAGATATTGTGCCCAGCACTAGGTAGATTTAATCTACCTTGTTACATAATTAACAAAAAGTCTAGTTCATAAAGGACTGGAAGCCATGCTCCTTGAGTTCTTAGTGGGAATGCTAATATTTCCACAGAATGTTATAAAAGGAGTACCTGCGAGGTAAAAAGGTTAGGGTAAATTACTTCAAAAATCCCAACTGAATCTCTTTAGAATTCAAAATGTATTTCATATTATATTTGAATATCTAAGTGGGTGGTGACCTAGAAATTCATCATATTCCAACTAAAAAGAGAAACTACACTGCAAGACATGGAATTTATGAAGTCCAATCTCTGCTCTTCTACTAAAAGTATTTCATACTCTTGCAAAGCTTCTTAAAATGACACAAAAACCAAAATAGTGTAAATTTCTCACAGCCTTTGAGAATAAAAATTCAACCTTTTTTTTTTTTTAAACCGGATCTCACTATGCAGTCGAGGCTAGCCTTCACCCGAGGATCCTCCTACTTCACAAGACTACAGGCTTCCACATCAGCTATGTAATAGTTTTCAAATATACTTAAAACGATCCCAAACTCTAACTGGCCATGATGGTACATGTCTGTAATCACAGCACAGAAGAGGCTGAGGCAGGAGGATTATGGTAAATTCAAGGCCAATCTGGGTCACATAGTAAACTGAAGACCAGCCTGAAGAATTACATAACAAGAAACTCAAAAAAAAACACACTTCCTATCTGTGATACCAAAATAATTATGAAAGACACAGTAACTTCTGAACCACCATTAGTTGTATATAACATGAAAAATATACTCACAAATAATCAAGTGCAAAAAGAAAACCCAAGAAAGAAGACTGTAAACAATTATTCAAATATCTTTTTAGTCTGGTAAAAGCCATTAAGATAAATAATTTATGAAATTACCAAAAAAAAATTCATGATTTTAAAAGTAACACTGTCTTACATGTCAGTCTTCAAGTAATTCACTTTTTCTCTAATCATTTTAGAAGTACAGTAAATTTTATAATTTTTAAAGTAGATTTATATTTCAATCTTTAAGTCATTCTTGGTAACATTCTCCCAAATTTCAATGTTAAAGAATATGGGAACATATTACGCTGACTAATGTAATCACAGTATACATTACATGACCTGCTAAAAATGCTGTGTAATGACACTGAGCTAGAACAACTGGGCTTCACTGCAGAAATCCACATCTCTTTGCTGATAAAGCAACGTTCTCTGCAGGTAAATTTGTCAACATTTTGTTGATTTTACATTTTCATCCAGAATAGCAGTTACTCTGATGCCACTTGATCTAAAGAAAGCAATCAGCAAATTTTCCATTCATAATTTTAGGGGGGAAGTTTTCCATAAAGGTTTCACTACTGAATGAAATGAAAGTAGTACCAGAATATAAACTTTCTTATACACTGATGTACTGTGTACTCCTCGAATAATTTTCCTACAAATTTTTACACTGGTATAGGAAAAAAAGAAATTGGTCCAAAAATATTCCATCTAAAATGCTATTCATGCTACCAACTCATCTACACTTCAACACCAAGCAAAAATTTTGGGATAAAAGTAGAAATAACCTAGAGTAAGCCATCAAGCTGAACTGTACTTCTGTTTCACAAATCTGGAAAGTATCCCTAACTTCCAAAAATCTATTACCTTAACTATACCTGAGATAAATTTATAAAATTATCCTTTCAACAAATACTCAGTGAGGAGAACTATGTGTCAGGGACAAAACTGAATAAAACAAAAATCCCTAGCTCTATGGAGCTTGCATTCTAGTGC